GTGATTGTGGCTCAGTTTTTCATTTTGACCATAGGCAGTGGTGAGCTGACACGGTGATTGTGGCTCAGTTTTTCATTTTGACCATAGGCAGTGGTGAGCTGACACGGTGATTGTGGCTCAGTTTTTCATTTTGAACATAGGCAGTGGTGAGCTGACACAGTGATTGTGGTTGAGTTTTTCATTGTGACTATAGGCAGTGGTGAGCTGACACAGTGATTGTTGCTCAGTTTTTCATTTTGACCATAGGCAGTGGTGAGCTGACACAGTGATTGTGGTTCAGTTTTTCATTGTGACTATAGGCAGTGGTGAACTGACACAGTCATTGTTGAAATTACTAGGTATCACATCAAGCGTGGAATTGAAGAAGCAGGGATGGAAGCAGCAGTTATATCAATTCCACTCAACATTACTACAAGTCCACATCTTTATACCAGGCAACCACCTTGGTCGTATTGGTGATACAGATTTATAATAGGAAATTTGGAGAGATAGCCCACGTAATATATTTAGCAGTACCACTGTTTGTATCTTGTGATGCTGCTTAGGTCGACTTTGTTTGTAATTTAAGGGGTAAGTTTTAAAGAAGCTGTAGGGCTGCATTGGTAGGGGTATTACACGATAATTCAGTTTTATCAAGTGAGTTGATAACGTTGATATCCCACTGTAAAGAGTTTCTAAAGCTGAGGTTTTGATCATTTTTAGCCCTTCGTCACTTGCTCTCAAAGGGCTAACATTTGATATGTCAGCTTTAAAAACTCTTTGCTGGTAATATTTCTGTTGTTAAGCCATAAAGTTCATTAATATATTTGTAAGAAAGGTGATGGGAATTTTGTTAAGATTGTCTATCAAAATTAATTTCGAGTTTGCCTGGTCAATCAATTTATTGGCGTTATATGATCATCAACCACAATGCTCTTTTATGATAGCATTACTGATTGTCAAGGTTTGCGCAGGCAACTACTTTTTCAATATAGTGACAATTAACGAATAGCTTGGAAGACGAATCTTCAACACTAAATTTGGAAAGAGCGAAGCTCTACTAAGCTATTTTATTTTGCTAGTGTTCAAATGTTTACTACAGTGTGGTTAAGTTGTGGCACCCTTTAACTTCTGAAACTAAAGGAAGTTCTGCATAGCATAATTCCGTTTAGTAGGCCCTCAAAGCCTCATTGGGAGGCCTCTATATCTCAAAGTTTCCCGTCTCTCGAGTGGTATCGATTTGTTTTCCAGAAACCTGTAAGAATGGGATTCTGCAACGGCACTGTGTACGTATAAAGTCTACTTTTATTTATATCTAGTGCATAAGTGTTGTACCGAAGACTTGCAATACAAACGCACCACAGATTCTGTACTATAATATAAGAATATTTTGGGAACTCGTACTTGGCGATACTTTTGAAAATGTATACGCCCATCTCCTGCTTTTTCAAATGTCAAATTTATACTCTCATGGAGTTGGTCGACCTGTAGTTTTTGTTTCGAAATAAACATGACCTGTTAATAAAGCAAAAGAGGAGTTTTTTTTATTCTGATGACATCTCCCTTAATTAAGAAGTACCGGTAATAGCAGAAATATTATTGCGGTATGTTTAGCTGCTTTTCGCCAAAATGTAGGCCTTTTGAAACATGGTGAAAATCACAGTTAGCTTTGTTAAAATGGATGTCATACATATGCAAGATTTAAGGGAGGCGTTTTGGATATGAATGTAGAAGATGCAAATCATATGGGTTTCATGAAATCACGATGAACGCGCCGAGCTCGTACTTAACAATTAGATAATGCAGTCAATTGTTTTAACTCGGGTGCAGGTTGTGGTGAAAAGTCTTGGTACGATTAATCAATTTTTCGCCGAAGGCGAAGTGAATATCTTTTACTCCCCTGAGCTCGAGGCAAATAATTGTTTTAGTATAATTGCGCTGGTGGTTTCGAATTCTGTTGTTAACTAGAATTTGGCAGGTTCATTTAATTCAATCAGCAAAAATCTTCATATCTTTCTTTTGAAAAGTGTTACTCCAAACTTATTAGTATCTTTTGTACTTTTCGGAATAGAATTCTCTTGATCGCGTTCAACAGTTCCTCAGTAACACTGACAAACGCGAGGCAGCCAATTTTGAAAGGTAGCGCTCCTGCCATAATCACCTCGCGCTAGGTCATTATAGCGAGACAAACGAATAAAGGGTGTAAGTTTCTAAAGAAACTGGTGCTGCGTCGGTGGGGTAACCAAGGTTATATCAACTAAGTTGAAATTGTAAATTGGCCACCGTGAAGAGTTAAAAAGCGGGATACACGACGCCATCCTTAACCAATCAGAGTGCGCGCGTCTCTCTAATCACCGTTGAGAGTAATTATACTAAACGGTAATTTGGAGGGAGGACTGGACGGACGCATCACTATTGTCGCACAGGGAAAGTCCACGTATGCTGATCTGTACTCAACGTATTCGTTTACACCGTCGTTTATCACCAAAACATGCTCATTTCAAAGGAGTTTTTCTTTCCTTTCATAATATTCATTGAAGCTCTTTGTCCATCCAGTAATCTTTTCCTTTCTAATCAAAAGACGGCGGAGGCCTTGATATGGTGACAACTGTACATTCGTATCGCTTCTACACGGTATTATTAAAGATAAACGACAAAATGGTTTACGATAGAGGAGCAGGAAGGATTTCATATCTAAGTTCCCTCAATACCAATGATTCTTTTATTTTCGCACTTCGATAAATGGGTTAACACGACCTAAGGAAAGACTAGTATGGGACAGCTGGGATCTGAAATACTCTGTAAAGGACCACCTAAAATGTTTGGGAATGAAAAGCACAATGCTTAGACGGGTCTAGATGTTCACAAAAAATATCACAAAAGTAGATTTATACAAGCCTAAATTTCAGGGATTTTCGAAATGACCGATGAAGCTAGAGCACGCTTGTGTCGACAGTCAAATAAATTTTCTCTGCTCTCTTATTTTTTTGAACTGGCTTCCCAGCATACTTTACAAACTTCGCAATTACATAATTTCCGTGTAAATTTTTTCAACACCTTTAAATAAATGAAACGATACGGTACGGACACGATGTGCTTTTGTTCTGAAATAACCCAAGATCCCTCAAGATACTCGATCGATACTCGACCGATACTCGAGAAAGTCCGCGTAGCCCCGATGTAGACCCCAGTCACCACCAAATAAGCTGAGAATGCTGGGATTCCGATTACTGCTCATGCCCAGTGAAACCGGGAGACGGCTCGTATGATCATCGAAGTTTCCTATGGTGGAAATGAAAACTAAAGTGGCCTAAAATTCGACCGTTTGGGACCGTTACCAGAATTTAGGTAGAGCATTCAACGATTGTCCAATGCTTTTTGCTACTTTCAAAAAAAGTTGTGTCAGTAGGCCCTTGCATCCGCGTAAATTCGATACGACGCTCAGAGAAGTACAGGGAAGTTGCTATGTCTCGGCATGAGGGTAAGTTTGTTTTCTCTTTTAGATTTAGAAATTGTGGCTTCCTTTTTGAAAAAGAATTGTCCTCTTAAATTTCATTATGGCACTGAGACCACAGTGTTTCCAGCTGCGTTTACTACAGCCACAGTCTCTAAGAGTGGTCGTTTTATAGAGTTGCGTCCATAGTTCCGTTAAGTTCACATTGCAAGTTCGAAAGGTTCGAGAGGACATGTTTACTTGGGCTGTTTTCAACGCGTGGTGTCGAAACTGAGAGACATATCGTTTCAGTGGCAAAGTATAGGGCACATTTCATACAATAAACTGACATATGTCTTCATTGTACTCGAGAATAAGTAATAAACTGGTACAATGACTTTATGGATATTACTCGTACATTTAAATATGTCACTGCCTCTAAGGACATAAGTTATATCTATAGCTGTTGCTGTAAGACTAATTTTTATCATCTCAAGACTGCTCTCCTTGTCGTTTTACTGAAGCTTGGTGGTCATTGGGTATAAATATTTTTTAAAACTCAATTCCTTGGTACAAGCACTTTCTGCTCAGCTAATATTATGAGGATGCAGAGGGACTAAAATCAATTGTGCTATTTTCTCTGTGCCTTCCCGACTGTTTTTTCTTTTTTTTTTTTTTTTTAATGAAGAATGATCAGATTCAAAACTACTGGCTGAAAGGGAAAGTAGTGGGGAAGGCCAAGAGCTTTTGTGTGTATGACTAATGCAGCAAATTAATTTTAGCAAATGACTTTTGAAGGGATGCTGGTAAGGCTGTGCATGTGTGGTTTTACTTATCATATCAGCTAAAATATGTACATTTCTTTTCTTAGGTATATTTATCTTTTTATCTATTTTAATACTTGTTTAATTAGAAGTATGAATTGCTTGCTAGGTGATTCAAGTATTAGGTTGATTCTCTTCAGATGTTTTAGTTGAAATTAGTATCCTTAGCAGCACTGCCTCTAAAAGTTTGGAACTGAGAATGTGGTCTGTATGTCATATATAACAAAAGAAACTATTTTGGTCATGCATTCTATAGCAGTGGATTCTGTGACAGATAAATGAACAAGTATCTGGGGGAGTGTTACAATTATCGTTTTATATCTACCAAGTGGGGCAGAGAGATTTCTTATGACCCCTTTTTTACCCATGATTAGAATTTGAACTTAGCTACATTGTAAGGGTTAAGCAAGTGAAATATCCATGTAAATTGTTTGACTATCAAGGTATGGGAGTTAGTTATTTAACCATAGAAGACTGTTTTAGTTGTCACATGGTGGAATGACCTGTTTTGCTTCATTGTGTGAATATTTCTCTGCTCTTGTCCAGAATTTTTCTTCATTTATGTTTTGAATAATGTTTTCTCCAAGAAAGACATGCCATCTGTACCCTTGTGGACACATTTACTTAATGTTTGAGCCATTCCTATTTAGTTCTGTGCATCAATCTAAGCAGAAAGTAAGAATTGAAATTTTGATCAGACAGTTTACAGGGTTGTTTAGGCTTGTAATGAAGGAGTGCAAGTCAAAAGAAGTTGCAATTTTGATTGGCCAGAACTTCAAACATATAGTAGCAGTTTTGAGATAAAATGTCTTTATAACTTGGCTACTTAATTCTGAAAATTTGTCACCAAATTGGCAACTAGATTGCCTTGTTATATCTTTCCTAGAGATAAACTGAAGGTAGAGATTGGTCAACATAAATCTGCAACAAACTTCCTTGATAAGGTTTTTTTCAAGAAGCAGCACATGCATGTTAAAAAAGTATATATTACTAGATGCCATCTTGGATTTATGCAACATTGCACTTTGTATAAGACCCATTGTAGTGTCCTTTATAGCACATGCAAATTTTGTGGGCTCATCTTTGTTACATTTGACATCCTTGTTCTCTGAGTGTACCAGTGAGCAAGAGACTGCAAAGGCAAATTTTTCTCAATGTCTGAAGTGGAAAGCATCTTGGAACTTAAACTGTTATAAAGCTTTAACGTTTTCTTTACTTTAAAGGTGAAGAAGCGTAATGATTTGATTTAGTGCCTGGGGCTCTCAGTTATTTATGGTACCTTTAGGGAGGGCACATATTAGAGACAGAGCGTTTAAAAAAAAAAAAAAAAAGAACAGTGGATTATGCAAACAAATCTTTTACATTTATTTTAAAAGGAACAATATCAGAAACTATAAAAGTAAAAAATGCACAGTGGACATAATCATAGAAATGGGAGGGAATGTACTTAGGAATTTCTTTCTCTGAAACAAAATAGGGGCACTTATTTGAATAGGGGCGCTAACAAATTTAAGCAGGGTTCAAATCTAATTTTTCAAGTTACTAGCCAAGTGGCTAGTGACATCTTAGATGTTTGACAATTTCAGTTTGTTTACTAGCGAAACTGGCTGGTGGAAATTGAAAACCATTAGCCAAAACTAAATTTCTACTAGTCTGTGGCTAGTGGGCTACCATTAGTGTCAAGCTCTGTCTAAGGGGGGCCTTATTAGGGATGGGGTGCCTATTGGATTTTGCCTTTTTGCATTTGTGGTAGTGTTATCAAATGATATAAGAGAATGCTTTCAAAACATCCTAGAAGGTTGTGGGGAAGAGGTTCTTCTAGTATTTTTACCAATGAATTCAAAAGCCAACATTTTTCTTAGATACCAATCAGTATAGAAGTCTTCTGATCAGGGGACTTGCAGCATGCTCTGTATGTGATATTTTCTCATAACAATGGCATTCTTGAAATGTACTTTTGATTACACTGTTGGTCACACAAACTTATAATAATTATTATGGGCCATGTAGGCTGTTAAGTTCGTGCAGTAAATATTAATTTGATACAACATGGTAACAAAGGATCATTTATTTGAAGCAATTAAGCATAAAAGAGCAACTTAAATTGTAAAAATACTTTTTAACTGATTCGTTGAGGAAATGATTATTGACTTTGTTATTATTTAAAACTGTATGTATTTTCAGCAGTGTACTGGCAAGGAATTGAATTAATGTAAAGTGAAATATATTTAACTGAGTGAGTTTGTTCCATGGGCCAGTGTTTGGGCAA